CAAGTATAACAATTAAAAAAAATAAAAAAATAAAAAAATAAATGAAAAAGTCTGTTTTCCAAACTGAATGGATACTTAATACCACATCTCAAGGAACTAGCAGTGGGTACAGTAATTATTGCTGCATCAAGTCTAAGCCAGGTTTATAGTTACTAAAACGTGAGAACGGCAGGTGACTTCTCTGAAGCAAGTTGTGCGTGTCTTTAGTGGCAGCATTATTACATAGAGGCAGGGCAAAAAGGCCAAGAGCTGTTTGGACAAGAAGACTGAGTTACCTTCCTCCTCAGGGTGAAACCCATCAGTGGGTGCCAAGGAGGCTGCTTGTGCTGCAATTCCCTGTATTTTATCTGTTCTGTGAAAAAACAATCTTCCTGCTTTGCTGGGGCTATCAATCCCTCACCTAGCAGGAGACATTGAATGTGATTTTCAATCACACACATCCAAATGACTGTACATCACACCATCCAAATGAGAAAGTATCTCATCAGAAGATGACTGGATAGGACACTTGCAGAGAGCAGAATTAATGCCACTGACCTGTTGTATCAACTAAGGCACAAAGATCCTGAAAAAAATATGCTTCCTCCATGAGAAAGAGAGGGATCTGCTGCTCCACAATGACAGTATCTGCTCACCCACATGCATGATGCAGATGGGCACATGAAATCAGCAGCAGGTCACATAAATATAAGCAACTTGGATGTTTTCACTTCTATTTTTGTCTTACTTTATGTGCCTTTTTCTCATCAAGACAAGGGGGCCAGTGGGCAAAGAGCAAGATCTGCCTCATACATGAAATTCATATTTGTGTAGAGGTTTCCACAAAAAACATGCCTTGGTCAGATTAGCTTTTAGAGTGATTTGGGTTGAAGTCACATTTCCCTTTGCTTGGTTAATCAATGTTCTGCAGTGCAGGGTCCCACATTTTTCCTGGGAACTGGAATGAAACAGGAACTTACAGCCACATTCTTCAAGGATTTGCAGATGAATTGGCTTTTCGTTGCTTTCGTGTTTGGAGAACTTTTGCCCCAAATTCCTGTCTCATAGATGAATATACCTGGACTGGCTTCCTTTGGCTTTAGCTACTCTAGCAGGATAGTGTTCTCCCATTTGAATAAAAGATAGCAAGTTTAATGATTTTCCACTGGTTTTGCTTAAGAAAGAAGATGGCCTGTCCCTGAGAGACAACTCCATGTACTGAGGTGTTCATGGAAATAGAAATTTCCTACTAAATATGTTTGTAAACTGTATTTGGTTCATCAAAGATTATACAGGAAACTTGTTATATTTTTCACAGATAATTTTTTTTGTTTCAGTAAAAAAAAAAAAAAAAAAAAAAGTTTTACTTATATAATTCAAATTTAGGTTAATTTTATCCACCACCCACATTACCTCATTTTCATAATTTAAGCAACCTTGGAACATGATGTGAAAAAGCCAATGTATTAAAGAACTGAGCCTCTTAAAACTCTACTTCACATGCCATGCCCTTAATTTACTATAATATAAAAAAATTTACTTTAGCTTCTTTTCTGAATGAGGTTCGTGATCTGATCCCAACTTGTCTCATTATATTTGTGGTACATGGTATTACTACATTTATAATAATACTAAAAGATACAGCTTCCATCACGCATATGCAATTGCCTCCCACTCTCACACAGGAACCAATTCTTACATGCTCATTAGAAGGCATTATATTTAGGAGCTATCACATTCACTATCCCTAGATTATTAGGAGATGGAAAGATTTGAAAAACGTATAACAAATTTGCTGTCATACAATTTATAAAATTTAGAAGACTTCTAAGGTTTCCTCATCATCAAAATATCAAGACATTATTAAAAGTTAGCAGTTACTGAATTATTAATCACATTTATCCTTACAAATGAACTTCACTCCTGAATAAGCTCACTGCAGGGTCCCACAAGTATCAATGGCATTACTTAGCTTGTGCTGTTGGCAAACCACAGACTGACCAATGGATTTGCACCCTGGATTATTTTTTTTCAGGGTGGATTTCCAGTTACAGAAATTGGTGTCATGGAATACTTCAATTCTGCCATTGTTTCTACTGAGCTGTAAAACTGTCAGGAGAAATCTTTCATTCATAAAGTCAAATTATGGGAGGAAAAGTGTAAGGGCTTTATAACAGATACCTTGATAAAGGATATCCCTATGTTACTTCATTACAAAATTTCTGATAAAAGCATGAAAAACAATTCTGAGACAAATTATATGAGAGTGTCCATTACAGAAAAAAAGTTTGCCTCAGTGAAATTGAAATGCATCTTCTGCTTACATTTTAAATACTGCATTTGGCAATCTCTTAGTCCCTTTCTCTGTGCTTGCAAACTATGTTTATATTAAAGTATCTTAAGCCAGGGTGTTTGCTTGCTTTTCACTGAGCATCTATCATTTGATGTTTCTGGTATTGCTGCTTCCTGTTTCTAAGCAAAATCTCCCACTGAGATTTTTGAGGCAGCAGACAGCCAGACAGAGCATTTAAAACTGCCAACTCTTCTGCTTTTATGCCTCGTTAACTGACCTATTGCTCTTTTCTCCACTTTCCCAGGATTTCCAGATTTCCATCCGCAGCATAAAACATATGCCACAGGAGAGTAGCTCTGTGTTCTCTACCAGGCACTGGCTCTGAAGCATCTGCCAGACAGAGGGAAGTCTGCAGTACATATGGACAGACCACCTCTACACCACTTGCACTGGCAATCCCAAATACATTGGACTACAACACCTGCATTTTGTTGCACCTTCTTACAAATTTATTTCAGGATAATCTCAGGCAGAAACATGGCTCTCAGTACTTTCTTCATCAAAACTTGCAGCTATGATTCCAAGTTCCTAGATCTGATTTGAAAGGAGCTGAAAGCTACTAAGCAAAGAGCCCAGTGGTACTCCATGCCAGTGGAACTTAACTGGCAACTCCTATGCTGAGTGACGTTACTCACAGGATTTGATATAATTCAGGAAACAAACCTTTGCCCAAATTGTAGTGTGCTATGATTACAGCTCTGCCATGCTAATGTCATCTTTCTGCTCAGGTGGTGCTAGTGTATAGTCACAGAAAACACATTAGCAAACTGCTTTGGAACAGTAATAGAAAAACATAATAAATATGTGAAACATGTTCTGAGAAATTATTCCTCTGCAAAGCATTCAGAGAGAGACTAGATTCATGAAACAAGAACTAAAGAAAGCGCAAAACCCTAGAACTGGCAGTGCTCTTTGTTTTGCCCTGAACAGACTATTTTAATGCATGCAAAGCTCTCTCCCTCTCTTCCTGCAAGACACTCCTCGAAACCCATCTGTTCTGTGGTGCATCCTACTTAACAAGAGCCGTGCACCAGGCTGTTTCAGCATTGTGCCATTCAGTGCTGTCCTGTGCTGTTTCAGCTTGTGCTCCTAAACTGCAAGCTCTTCCGGAGGGAGAACCTCCTATTTATCTGACACAGTTCCCCTATTGTACTGCCCTATGTGCTTACACCACTGTAAAAACTACAACTGGCCTGAAGAGGAAATGCTGAATAACTAGGAAAAAAAGGAGTATTTTATTGCCAGAACTTAGCAGGCTGATGCATTATGTCTGCACAGCAATACGGTTACACAACTTTTACCCTCTGCTAGTAGTAAGACGTTTCGGTGATGGCAAGGAGCCACCATTTGGGGAAGCTGCGGTCAGCGGGGTTGTGAAAGCCCTGGTATTGCGCGGGGTAGCGGTCAACAAGCAGGCATGAAGCCACGTTACTAGCATAGAATCAAAGAATATACCGAGTTGGAAGGGACCCACAAGGATCATTGAGTCCAACTCTTAGCACCACACAGCACCACACAAAAATCGGACCATGTGTCTGAGAGTGTTGGTCAAGTGCTTCTTGAACTCTGGCAGGCTCGGTGCCGTGACCACTGCCCTGGGCAGCCTGTCCCAGTGCCTAGCCACCCTCTGGGTGCAGAACCTGTCCCTAACCCCCAGCCTGACCCTCCCCTGTCCCAGCTCCATGCCGTTCCCTCGGGTCCTGTCGCTGTCCTCAGAGAGCAGAGCTCAGCGCCTGCCCCTCCACTCCCCTTGTGAGGGAGCTGCAGGCCGCCATGAGGCCTCCCCTCGGCCTCCACTTCTCTAGGCCAAGCGTTCAAACCAAGTGACTTCAGACACTCCTGAATATTTTCTATCTATTTTTCTGAATAGTATCTTGTATACCCTTCTTTGGAGTCTCTCTAACAGTTTTACCTCTTTCTTGTATTGTGTTGCCCAAAACTGCACACAGTGCTTGAGGTGAGGCTGCACCAGCACTGATGACTGTGTGACAATGACAAGAGAATCCCTTCCCTTGACTGGCTAGCAGTGCCTTAACTGATGCACCCCAGGGTACATCCTGGGCCCTCCTGGAAGGTTAAATGGCTGAAAAAACACAAATTTCACAAATGTGCAGGAATGACAATGCAAATTTCCAGGAATTACATGACAAATGTCCAGGAATCACACCACAAATGTCCAGGAATTGCTATGAGCTTGTCCCACTCTGCCATGGATGGATCTTTCCCATCAACTGAAGTTAAAAATGGGTCTCATGGGGACACAGGGAGCCCCCTGCCAGAGCCACCTCCCCGCCACCTCCCATGCTTGTCCCACAGGGGTTGTACTTTATTGGTGTCTTTAATTCTTATTTTGCACGTTAAGGTTGTGGTCTGCCAACAACGCTTCACAGGTGATGCCTCTCCCTGTCAGCAGGCTTCATCTGCGCCCCGGGGTGCCACGGGACAGCCCTCAGGACACCAAAACAAGCGCACCCTGCCCCGTCCCACCTCAGGACCTCGCCCACCTCAGCGGGCACCCCTCCCCAACACTCCCCCTTCCCCAGGCGGGCGCTGCCCCTTTAAGAAGGAGCCCGCCCGCCACCACCCTCCCCGCTGTCAGCTCCGGGAACCCGCCCGCCCGCGCCACCGCCGGCTGCGGCGTTTCTCAGGTTTGAGCGCCCGCCCGCACGGCCCGGGCGCTGCCATGTTCCGCCTGCTGCTGCGCACGGGGCCGCCGCCGCCCCGCGGGCCCCCCCTCGCCTCCGCCGCCCGCCGCCGCCGCTTGCTGCCCGCCCCCTGCCCCGGGCCGGGCTCCCCTCAGCCCACCGCCGGCCCCTCTCGTAGCGCTGAGGGCCGCCGCCGGCAGCTCGGCCAAGGTAGGCGGCGGGGAACGGCCCCTCCGCACCCTGCGAGCTGCCTGGAGGTGGCACCACAGGGCTGGGGGGGACGGGGGCTGTTTTGGGGTGAGAAGGGGGGATTTGGGGTGATGGGGGCGGAGGTTGTGTGGCTGGTGGGCTGCGCTCCTCGCCCAGCTGGACGGGGCCGTGCGGGGCAGTCCAGGTAGCGCTTGGTTTGTTCAGCATCCTGCTTCGGCACCACCCAGAAACTGCCAGCTGTGGGGGGCTCGGAGCACGGGTGAAGGGAGAAGGAGCTGGGTTTTGGTTCCTAAGAACCATTTGTTCAACGTGTCTGTGCTGCACCGGCCCAGGGTGCACCTACCTCCGTGGGCAGTCAGCGCCTGTTTCCCTGGCACCTGAAATGAGATGTTTTCCTCTGAAATCGGTCCTCATGTTGGGCTCCTTAAATAGATCGTGCCCATCTTTCTTTGGATGACACATCACTGTGTTAAAAGCTAAAATGCCATTCGAGCCATGCCCGGCTTTTAGGAAAATCATGCTGTTGAATAAATGAGTGTGCTTGGCTAGGCATGTGGTGCTGGTTTTGGCAGTAGGTGTTACGAGACTGTTCTGCTTGGTTAATTCAAGTAGTCCCAGTTCATAACTCAGTATCTAAATTTTATGGAACAGAATTTAAAATCAGAATTCCTTCTCCTTCCCTCTAATAAAACTGAAGAGTGAGAATGACTTCAGAAACACTGCTGTATGTGGTAAAGTAGCCGCCGTGTAGTACAGCCACAGTGTTACGTGGCTGGAAGTACTAAGGTTATTTACCTGTGAACCCTGTCTTCTGCTTAATGAGCTTGTTTTAAAAATAAGTATTTGAATCTTGTTTCTTCATTTACTGTCTAGTATTAAATCTGGTTTTAGCAAAAAAAAAGAGGTTGGGTGAGTTTTTGTTGGTAGTTTTTGTTGTGTTTTGTTTGTTTTTTTTTTTTTCTTTCTTTCTTAGTCAAGCTTCAGTTCTGTTCACGTACTGTCTTGGTTCATAAGCCAAAGTAAAAGAATAAAAATAAAAAAAAAATAACATTATTCATTATGTTTGAAAACTTTAAAAACACAAGAATCAGAATAAATCCTAGCTGACAATCTTGCCAAGTCCAGGAATGAACCAAAAGCAGTAGCACTCCCCTTGTTCTTCCTTTTGTCAGCCGACCTACAGAGGGTTCTTTGTAGGAGCCTGAATGCTGGACCTCTTCTATCAGTAAGTTGTTAGCAGGCTGGAATCAGTGTGGCATCATGTAGGCTTCCAGTGCCATCAATTGCCTAGCTGTGTTATGAGAATTTGCTGTACAAAGCTGAGCTGGGTATGAGCAAAATTCTCTGGCATCTCAGTCTCGCTTCTCAAAAGCTGCGTGAGTGTGTCTTGGCACCCGTTTGGATCAGATGGAAGGCTGGGACCATAACAATTCTTTTTAATGATGGAACCTGCATTTATGTAAGAACTTGCACCAAGCTCAGCACACCTGTTTGATGTGAATAGTTGGAAATGGGAACTTGTATGGACTCGGCCTACAGGCATCAGCTATTCTGAAATGAAAAAGCAAAAGCACATTACTGTCTTTCCCAAAGCCTTCCAAGTAGCACTGTACTCAAGCCAGTTGCTTCGTTCTTTCAAATCTGTTCAACTGACTAGAATATAATATTGTACTTAATGCTAATTAATGTTTTGTTTTCTCTTTAGGATGTGGGTGGATCCCCTAACAAAGCAGCCACAGATCTCAGCAGTGAAAACAAGAAACTCAATAAATCCCAGCAGCTGAAAAAAGTTTTCAAAGAATATGGTGCCGTAGGGGTTTCATTCCATGTTGGAATTTCATTAGTATCTCTAGGAATCTTCTACCTGGCTGTGTCAAGGTACGGTTTGACTGTATAGCCTCTAGGTAATGGTTTAGACAAGAAAAATGTTCTACCATTGTGCTTATTTCTGGAAAGAGATGTGCTCTGTGCTTGTTTGAGCTATATACAGGAATCTTCTGAATTTTGGGTATTGATTGATGCATAAATGGATCTAATTTCCAATCAGGTATGAGTGAATATAAACTTGCTTGGTCATTCTATATAAGTTCATTGACTGTGGTGGGCTGGTGAAAACAACAGAGTAGAGACTGTGCAAGAGTAACTAAAGAAGAATTTATTTTGTTTTGCAGAGATATCTTTTGTTCTCAAGCAGTAGCATGGCCTGTAGAGATAGAGCTGTATGAAAGTGCTGGAGCTTAGAGATAAATTTATTTTTCTGGGTGCTGAACTCCATTCAAACTGCAGAAGGCAACAGTCACTAAAACAGAGGATCAGGTTAAAAAAGAAAATGCCAGATAATAGAGACAGGTAGGAAATGCTGAGGATGGTGCTGAACATTCTCCATGCTGTATCTGTACAGCTGTATAGCTAAGAGGATGTTTGACTTCATAGGGACCTGGCCAGTGTAAAAAAAAAACAACAAAGAAGTGCATCTCAATATATTATATGTACTATTGTTATAGAAATAATTTGGCTGTTACTGCTGGAAGAGTTCATTGTTTTTTGTTATTTAACATGTAAAATTAAACAAATTCCAGAGTTGGAATTACATCATGTTAAATTCCCTGAGTAAACAATACTCTTAATTTAAATCTTCTTTATTGTGCAATTTTAAAATAAGCTAAGAATTCTTATTTTCTTTTTCCACAGTGGTGTGGATATGACTGCAGTTCTCTTCAAACTTGGTTTCAGTGAATCCTCGCTGCAATCTAAAATGGCTGCTGGTACAAGCACTTTTGTGTTGGCATATGCTATTCACAAATTGTTTGCTCCGGTACGAATCAGCATTACTATAGTTTCTGTGCCATTTATTGTCCGATACTGCCGAAAGATTGGTTTCTTCAAACCACCTACCCCAAATCCATGATAACTTCTTCTTGTTTTTTACTCTTTTTATTATTATTATTTTAATGTTCAATATTCATGTAGCTTTTCAGATTGATAAATTTCTTTAAAATACTTATTTGGGTTTCATGTTAATGCTGACCTTCTCTTGCATTTCTCACTTGTTCTTTCAGGTAAATGTAATGCAGTGAAAAGTGCTGCCCTTATCTTTTTTTCCCTTTGCCACCTCTTTTTTTTTTTTTCCTCAGAAATAGCTGTTAAAATATCTGTTTTCCACTGCAAGTGGTAATATAAATGCTTGACAATGAACAGTCTTTTGAACACACAGTTCTGGGTCTTTATAATCTATTTTTTTGGAGTATAACTTTTTTCATATCAAAATACAGCTGCAGCAGTAGTTTATTACTGCATAGATATTACTGGGAAATAATCTTATTTTCCTAATAGTCTGTGGATTAAATGATATCCTACTATATGAATGGGTCTTTTTGGTAAGCAAATATATATTGGGATCTGAGGCAATATGTAGGAGTTTTTGTTATAAAAGACATGTTATGATCCTGGTCTTCCAATCCAACACCCATGCCAAGCTAATTTTAGTGAGTACCCATATGCTTAATTATTGCACAGTGATAATTATTTTAGCTAGAATTGGTAATGTACTTCATGTACTTCTCTGAAGCTACAGCTTCTTTGTGTTGCTTTCATGTTTCAAGATTTTGTTATTTGAAAATGTCCTTTTCTGGCCTTTCTAAGGTTGGTTGTTTTTTTTTGTTTATTTGTTTGTTTGTTAATGCTATAAACTAAGAGATCCTGAGTTTAGCGAAATCAGTATAACCAGAATTACCTCCTGTGTGAACATATTCCAAAGACCAAGTCAGATGCAAGGTATCTATGGGTTTTTCATGTACTGAGGCCTAACTTTTGTACTGGGGACACTTTTTTTTTCTGAAAACTGACCACAACTGCTTTCTGCTCCTGTGGATGAATCTCAGATCTGGGACTGACGTCCAGACACTACAATTCAGATATCAAGAGTAATTATTATGCTTTTGTCTGACAGAACGTTATTCTGTCAGAATATTATTATGACAGAATAATATGACAGCATATTATGACATTCTGTCAGAATGTTGTTATGCTTTTGTCTGCTGAATGTACCAGTTAGAGGTGTAATACATACTACTCAGTTAACCGAAGACTGGATCTCAAAACTAGGTACTTGGCTTAACATTCCATGGTAAACCTGAGTTTTAGACTTAGGACTAAGCTTCTGTGAGATGATTGAAGCCAGATCCAAGAATCTTTTAGATCTGCTCCTCCTTCCAGGTCTGTTCTTTTTACATTGTCTGCCTCCATCTTTATGCTTGTCATTTGTACCAAGGTGGCTCTGGCACAGAGCTCTTTGTACAGGAATCTGACTGAACTAAAATGGCAGAAAACTACCTTGGCCATTAAAGTTTGTTTTTTTGCCATGTTAGTGAATCGTGAAGAAGGAATAGTGCTGAAGGCCCTAGAGGAGGAGGAGCAAGTCATTTCTCTTTTTGTCAGCAAGCTGTTAATGCAGCTCAGACATGTTAAATTACACTCTAACACCTTTACCATTCAGAAAGTCCAACCCCGAGACTGGTTGGGTGCTCTGAGGATTCTTGAGATCGCAAGTGAGAAAGGAGAGGTCACACTCTAGAAAAATAAATGGTAGCTACATATGTACTTACACCTCTGTACTATTGCTACCCCTTGGTTCATCAGAGAACGGGGAAATTGGAAGAGACATTTCCTTTGTCCTGTGGAAGCAAGCTGTTATTAGAGCCTACCTCCTGAAAACCTTGGCAATGGCTTTGTCACAGATAGGGTGTGCTGTTAGCCCCGTATCTTAAAATGGAAACCGCTGCCAGTGAGCAGGTACACCGACTTGATCTATAATGTGTAGCATAAACACAAAGGCACATTACATAGATAAACACTTCTCAAAATACTAACCTTTGACAGGACATACTGACTCAGCCTTGCAGTATGGCCTGCTTCCCTGGGAGCTATATGCTCAATCCTCTGGCACAGCTTGTTGTGCACAGCTGCTTGTTAGGATACAGAGCCAATGCTCTGCTGTTTGGTGTGTATGAGGAATAGCAGTCAGGTCCATTTTGGCTAGCTTATTTAAAAAATTAAAAAGACAGGATTTGTCCCACTCTATGCCTGCTTTGCTGTATGGCTGCTGAAGCTGACAGCACCCTCTATGAGCTAACTACCTTGCTGCTATCTAAACCGTAATTAGAATTTGTTTCATATCAGCTTGTCCCTGAAGGAAGCTCTGCCTTCTACCCTTGATAAGTCAGGATATTATATTGTTACTTAAAGTTTATTGCTGGCTGTTTAGTGAGTAAAAACCTGTAGGATCTACATAAACAACAAGTGAAGGGTTACTGTGTTGTTACATGCAACCAACACTTCCCTAGCTTTCCAGGACCTGCTGCCTTCTGGAGTGAGTGGAGATACAAAGTGTCAAGTAGACAGACAGTGTATCTTAAGAGTAAGTGTAATGAGCTCTGTTGCCCCTGATCTAAGAAACATGTTCTTTTCTGTGTGTCCTCTAGCTGTTCAGGTCACTGTTCTCTTAGCTAAGGGTAACAATGATTTCAGAATAGTCAAGTGATGAGATTCTTGTTTATCTGATCAGTTAGTTTTAAACAAAATAGGTGCTTTGTCCTAAAGTTAGAGAAGTAGGATACAGGCTTCTTTTCCTTTTCCAAGAAGTACTTCTCTAAAACAGGAATTGTTTAAAGCAAATGCACCTAGAAGTTATTAACAAGGCATCAGCGCTAGAGCTTTTCTTTCAGTAAAGAAAGAGGGCTTCATTAAGTTGGGACCAGACTTCAGCTTACCTACTAATAAGATAGAGTTGTATAAACTGACAATTTGTTTAGATAAGTTTCTGCAAAGTATATTTTAAATTAATTTGAGAATATATTTTAAAATCTAGAATCCTTGCTTGTAAAAAAATCATTTTTTAAATGGTTTGTAAAATAGTGAAGGAGACCTTAAGGTCTTATGTTAATAAAAATACAATAAATTGCTTTCTCATAGCATTTGCTTGAAGTGTTTTACTAGAAAAGAGGTGGTTTGCATGTTTTGTTTCTCAGTGTCTTTCCTTGTCTACAAACAAGTTGCACCACAATTTAAGTCAGTTTCTTTTAAATCTCTATCTTTTCAAAATTGCAAACATCTTTTAGTGTCTTAAGAAGCTTCTTAATGCTATGCCATTTATTTCCTACCTTTTAATACTGTGTTGTGATTGAAGAAAAGTAGCCACACACACCTCTTTCAAGAATATCAGCACTTTGATATCAGCTTACTTTTCAACCAAGAAAAAACCTTGCTCTGTAATCATGGATGTGAAGCCAAGCTGTACTGTAGTATGACATTAAAGACAAGTGATTTAGATGGGGGCTGCAGAAGCAATAAGTGTACCATGCTTGTAACAATATATAACAAGTCTTTATTTTAAACGTTGAGTGCTCACATTTAAGGCAAAATTAGAGACAAAAATCCATACATCATTCAGGACACAAATGCATTCACCTGACTCAGTTTCAGATTACACCACAGGTACGATACCCTTAGCAGCCCAATGAGTTCATAGGCAGGCATCTCTGGGATATTGCACTGTTCAATAAGACAGAATCACAACTGCCTCTTGGTACTGGAACAATGATCTATAACCATGACAGACCACATCATAAAGGCCTTGAACAGCATAATACTTAAACCTGGCCCACGTGTAGTTATATTTCAAGTATATTAAGAATTCCACAACCTCCAGCTAGAAGTCAAATAGATTTACACTGAAATTTGAGATAAGTTCAAGCTGACAACCAACCTAAAGACTTGTGTTCCTTATTGCCACTGGATTCCAAGACCTGCTTTTCTTATTATATTACAGCAGTCACAGTACAGAACTCCTCTCATTGATCCAATGAGATTATCCTTGTTAAGACTGCGTTCTGGGTGGGGCAGTAACATCACTCTTTCTGCTGTTGGGCAACTTCGTAGAGTTTGCTGTAATCCAGGGATGAACAAGTACATCCTTCAAGGGCATCCGATGGAATGGGTTATGCTTCAGGAGCTTTGAAATTAAATCCTTTGCACCTTCTGTTACAAATGCAGGATACTTGAACTCCACCTGGTAAAAGGAAACAAAAAAGATTATGCAAAGTTCTTGGGCACTAATCAAAATTAAAGAGCCACAGGGCTCTACCCTCCAAGGCACAGATAGGAAGAAAAGTTGTCAGCCTTGTGGGATGTGCACTGTGCCTATTTAATTTCAACAGGGTTATGATGAAAACAAGGTTCTTGCTGCATGTAGATGTTAAGCTAGTGCTAGTGTACTTTTCAGTGTATTTCAAATACAAGACTAGTTTCCTGGAACCTTTCTAGAGCACAGAACAGGAAAAATCAAGTTTAATACCTTGAATGTTAAATTTTATAAGCCAAAAAAATTAAAGGTGGAAAAGACTAGTTGCTTTATGAAGAGGTGGATATTCAGATGCAGGCAGAAACACGACAGAAACAAGAAGCCAGGCAAAGTCTTAAGTCTCTTCAGCTAATACTGGAGTGACTGAGGACAGTTTTAGCAGCCTAGTTTTGTGCACATCTCATTATGTCTTACTATACTTCTAGTTCTACATGCCCTTCCTCAAGGCAACTTGTAGTTAAGCTGTAAGAGAAGAACTGAAAGCAAAATTCAGCTAGTCTAAGTAAGTCATGGTACATACCCTAGAAATAGCTCTGTAGGTTTCCTGGTATGTTGCTGCTTCAAAAGGTGGCTTCCCTACAAGGAATTCATAACACAGAACCCCCAAGCTCCAAATATCCACCTTTTCATCATGTGTTCTTCCCTCAATCATTTCAGGAGGCAAGTAGTCAAGTGTCCCACACAGAGTTGTTCTCCTGAAAAAAAAGTTACAGTTTATCATTTACCCTTAATGGCAATTAAGATCTGTTCTAAGAAAAATCAAGATGTTAATGCCAGCAGTTAAGTTATCTATACCTCAGTGCAGTCTACCCCAGATGGACTCAGCAGCACTGACATTCCAGCAATAGGTTTGTTTTTTGTTTGTATGTTTTTGGATATTTTTTTTTTTAAAAAAAAAAAAACTTTTGCTTCAAAGCATTTAAAATCACAGTAGTCAGTCTTGCCCTTCTTTTTCCCCTCCTACCAGCTCACAGGTCAGACAGGCTTCCTTTTTCAGATGCAGTTAGACATACCCTAAGTATATTCTGGGTGTGTGGTATTTCGATGGAAGTTCTTATCTGTCACCTCAGGAACCACTACGAGCCTCCACCAGTACACTGCCCCAACCCTCTTGTTTCTGGTTCAGCAAGTTTTGAAATACACAAAGAGCAGAAGGAATATTGTCTCACTTTGCCACACCAGTTAAGACCCTCACTGCAGTAACCCAGTTCTTAAAGGATATTTTCCCCCAGTATTTTAGGAAGCTCACATTTGCCTCCATTCCATAACTAGAAGTTTAACAAGAAATCTAGCATTTTCATTTTCACCACACAAGTATTTCACTGTATAACTTATGTATTGCATTCTTACCTAGAAGATGGCGCATGCACAGACCATCCAAAGTCAGCAATTTTTAATTCTCCATTTGAGCCAAGCAGCAGGTTTTCTGGTTTGATGTCCCTATGAATCACGTTCTTTGAGTGGCAGTATGATAGGGCATCTGCTAGTTCTGTGATATACTGCAAATAGAAAGAAAACAAATCTGTCAAGCATGAAGACACCAGCATTCTAGCTTTACTGTCTAGAGCATAGTATATCCTAAGCATAATTAATGGTTTGAATTTAAGCAATGATTCCTTACACCCTTGAAGTAAGATAATACAAGCTCTGCCTGAAATGACCAAGAGTTTGTAGCATTGGGCAACACTGAATGTTGTTAAGTAATGCTGTGCAGTAATTTGTCTTCTCAACATATTGAGAAATAGATTAAAGTGCATCAACAAACAAGCATCTCATGAGTCAGCTTCACACAACGGACAGAATTTCATCTGGATAGCTTTATGCTTCAGGTACTCCAGATAAGAACAAGTGATGTACAAGCAGCTAGAACGACCTACAGTTGCAGTTCTTTGTTCATCAAACTTGGTAAGCTTCTGAAGTTCTTTGTAGACTTCTCCACGGGGTGCGTACTCTAGAATAAGATAGACTCTTGTAACATCATGGAAGTAGCCGTATAGTCTGAGAATATTGGGATGCCTGCAAGAAGATTTAAAGATTTTTCTGAACAAGGTATTTGTACAACTATAATACTTATAGGTACAGGACATATGATTTAATATAAATGCCACACAAAACAGTACAGTCCTGATTGCCATGTATTGCTTGCTTCATTGCAAATGAAGCAGAGGTAAGACTTACTTCTTTATGCAATATAGTAAGAATCTTAGTTTCAAGTTGTCATGTGTTTAAAAAGAAATTGCTGTTTTCACTGTCATGTTATCAAGAACAAGCTCTTTTTTTTTTAATTGAGCATAAACTAAGCAAAGAGAAATAGCTCACTAAGCTTTACCTAAGATGAGACTGTATTTCAACTTCTCTTCGTAGTTGATGTTCTACACCAGCTTCTTCAAGTTGTGTTTTAAATAGTACTTTCAGTGCAAGAATAAATTTACTCTGCTTTTCACGTGCTAGGTACACATTTCCAAATTTCCCTTTCCCCAGAGGACGACCAATTTCAAAATCATCAAGAGACCATTGTCTTCTGCAAAAGGAGAGATAGTTAAGTTACAAAAGCTGATACCTGCATGTACAAACAATGCTCCTGTTCAATAGATACTTGGTGATCTCAGCTAGATTTTGGGATTTAATGAAACACCACCAAACAGACAAAATGTTGAGACCTCTGACAAGATCCTGAAAGCTACTCTCTGGCTTCATAATGCTTATGCAGAGAAATACTGTCATCAGTCACACCTTACAGCAATAACAGAACTGTGTGTACTAAGCCAGGCACATTTCAATTTACTTCTGTATTCTGCATTGTCAGAATTGTTTTAAAGCTAGCCCTAATACAAGGTAACTTCATACACAGACTCCAGCCTCCTGCACATATAAAGGAGGAATATTTTCCCAGGAGTACACGCTGTGATTAGAGCAGTGGTTATCAGAATTCTCTCATGGGAAAAGCATTAAACAAAAGCTTTTCTTCAGATTACAGTAAATTCTTGTTCCTGAGGATTATCAGGTCCAAGTAAACTTTCCTAAGGTTTCATTGTGAAATGTTGCCTCTACGAAGCGTTTGGCCTCTGTTTTTAGCAATCAAAGACTGGAGTAGCCAGCAGCTACTTGCACAACACAGCAAGCTTAGTCGCAGCACAAAGTTATGGAAGTTAAAAGCAAGCCTAACCCAACAGCACTCAGTCAGCTGGAAAAATTTCAGCATGCAACTTACTTTTTATTCTCTTCATTTTTCTTTTTCGTAGGCTCTTCATTTTTCTGTTTAGAGCTGCTTTCTGCCTCAGAACTTTTTGCTGCATAAAGTAGATAAGTAAAACAACTTTAAGAGATAGACCAATCAACACAACACAAACTCACACGAGGAACAAGTATAACCTCTGTGCAGTCTCTACAATTCAACTATATTCAATAGTTAAAACTAGTGTAGTTTACTATTGGCAAAGCAACATAATTAGAATTGCATCAAAGTGTAATTCCAAGTCTTCTTGAAATTAAACAAGCTTCCCCCCACCCATACAATATCCTTGTGTATCAGATTAGCATGCATACTGGAGAAACTAATGCAGGAGTGCCAATTTTATTCATTCACAGCTGACTGATGAGGATCTGTAAGCTTTCCAGAGGAAAGAAACACTTATGTTGGCTCTAAATACCTGATTCTGGCAACACAAATAGTACGGTAACATCTAAGTTATAGTACATGCTGCTGTTCTGTTTCTGGGTGCAACCACTTATTTCTCTACATTACTGTCCCCCACATCATCCGCATGAGTTTTACATTTTCTTCACTGCACTCTGCTTCATGGGCATATCCCAGTTGTCACAGACTGATAAATATGTGTACATCATCCTCAGAATTACCAGGTGCTGGAGCCTGTTGAGGTTTTTCATTGGTCTTGCTTGGAACCTGGGGTCTAGCCATTGGCTGGACCAGAAACTTGGGTCGGGGCTGCTGTGTTGTCTGGTTGTTAGACAGTTTTTGGTTTGATGGTACAGACTTCTGCGATTGCACAGGAACTCGCTGGGCAAGGTTTGAGGGACAGAGAACACGTTGTGCTTGACCTCCACTGTTCAATACCCGGCTCTGGGCAGAATGCTGAGACACAGGAACACGTTTTGGGCCATCTACAACAGCATTTGCAGTCTTCAGAAAGAAACAATTGTACATTAGTAATAGAATAACACTATATAGCCCTTATGATCCCATACCATAGAGTTGGGTGTGGGTTGTACCTCAGTAAGGTACAGAGGTGGAAAAACATTAAGTAGTTAAAAATGAAATATTAGGGAATTCTGATTTTTTATTTTAATAATTAAATTTACCTGTAGAGAGCTGCCAACGTGTTAACAGCATGCTTATTTATAGCTGGCTATAGAACTTTTCCACACAAGCCTGAATAGCAGTAAAAACTTGTAAGCCATCAGACCTTTACTATAGAAAATATTTGCAACTGATATACAGCTTTAAGCTACTACTCCCTTGAATGGTGTGCATTTTAAGATGCCTTGCACTGCAACAGGAGTTCAGCAGAACAAAAGAGTTTATTTAGTAAGATTCAGTTGACTGCTTTTAATCTTTTGCTTTCAGTAGGTGAAGGCAGTTTACATTTATATTTAAGAAATCTTTAATTGTTCTAGCATACTTTAGCTAGAATTAAGTTCAAACACTAATGATTGGCATCTCACATCGACACCTCTGATACATACATTTTTGTTTTCTTGTTCAACTCACAGACAAACGATTAAAAAGAGGTTTTGCTTTTGTTGTCTTAAATCTTTACCAGGGCATGTGTGTTTTTAAGGTAAAAGAATAGGAACATCTGCAATTCTGTATATAAACACTTGCAGTCACAGAGATCTTGAGCACTCCCACACAGGCATGCGAACGTTAACAGTGCTTTCCTGCGGAAGCCATTTCTCAAGTAAGTTACCTACTGACATTTATTCCCTAGCTAAAGGATCCTACATTACACCTCAATCACCTCATCATTTTGAGAGCTCCCCAATTCAAGAGTCACATAATAATAGTAGTAATAAAAATAGCAGTAATAGAAAATAATGAGCCTTGGGCATTGCTCTCCAACAGAAAGACTGCAAGACAAAGTTTACTGTGGCTTACTAGACACAGAAGACACTGTTCTGTGTTCCTCCCCCTCTGTTATTTAGTAAGTTTAATAGTAACGGTCACAAGAGCCTCAAACTGCGTGATCAAGAGGAACGTATCTACCAGCCTAGGGATTACCTTAGGGACGCGAGCAGGGTTCCCAGAACGGTTCTCTTTTGTATTCTTGTCCATGGCACCTGAGGAGGGCAGGGCCCGCGTACAGCCTCACCTACGGCGAGAACACGGCGATGGCGGGCAGCCCCACGGCGGAGCCTCACCTCAGGCCCTCTCCCACCTCCTGACCGCCGGGGCCCAGCCTCCCTCCCCCACAGACGCCTCACCCCCGGCCCCGCAGCCCCTCAGGCCGCCTCTGAGCGGGGAGGGCCCGACCTCGGGCCCGCTCCACCAGGCCCACAGGCGCTCACCTCAGGCCGCGGCCGCTCAGGCTGTTTGAATTCAAACGGCCCTCCCTTAAATACCCTTTAAACCACCGCCCCTCGCCATTGGCCGCCCTCCCGCCGCCCGCCGCCGCTGATTGGCTGCTTCCCCAGCGCCCCGCCCGCCGATTGGCGTCTCCTCAACGCGCCGCTCGTTGCCAGGCCCGAGCCTCGTCGCTTCCCCCCTCCCTCCCCTCTACCGCGCAGGCGCAACGGCGGCCCGTCTGCGTATCCCGCGTCGGGCCGGACCGCCCGCCCCGGGGGCGGTGTTTGCGCTCCATGCGTATTTTACGTAGCGCCTGCCCCGCCGCCGGCTCCTTCCGTACTCCAAGTGCGCGGCGCGGCGCCCCGCTAACGCACGGCGCTCCGCAAAGTCTGCCCGGCCGCCTCCCGCCTTACGCAAATCGCGTATGTCCAGACCACCCACCTGTGGCAACGCTACAACTGCCGCCCCCTCCCCGCGGGCACCCAGGCCTCGCAGCGCCCCGACGGCGGCCGGGGGAAGGGCCCCAGGTTAGTCCCGCAGCCTGCGAGGCGCCGGCCTCCGCCCTCGCTGCCTCCACACACACACACACACACACACACACACACACCCGCGGTGCTGCCACCTCGCGTGAAGCCGGGCGCGAGTGGGGCCGCCCGCCTGCCTTTGTGTGGTGGTGGTGGCCGCGAGGTAGGTGCCCCGCGGGTGGCAGCTCCGCGCGAAGCCGGGAGGGCCGGGGTGAAGCAGGCCTCGCCGCCTCACGCTCGCCCCCGGGGCAGCGCTCCACGTGCCCTCGGCTCTTGAGGACAAGTGCGAAGGGGACGCCTTGCCCTGCTGCACCGCGCCGAGGGGACGCTCGGCCCGCAGGTTGGCTTCGCCGTGAGGTGAGCGGTGCTGAGCTGCGGCCGGTGGCAGCTTCTAAAAGCCTGCGGGTCATCGAGGAGCGGAGCCCGGACAGCACCGGCAGCGGGTGAGCGGCGCTGCTCGTGAGGACAAGCGCGACAAGGAGCGAGGGGCTGCGCTGGTGGCTCAGTGACCAGGCAGCTGCGAGGTCTTGCTCACGCCTGTGAGGAGGACCTTGGCCGGCGAGCGGCGGCCAGGACGAGGTTCAGTTTGTCAGGTCTCTGAAGAACCATAATCGAAGGCAACTCTTAACCGGCTCCGCGTCGCTAGGAACCAGTGCGAAGGCCGCCCCGTTGTGTTGGTGTTTACAAGCGGTACAGGATAGGGAAAAAGAAGATGTCAGGTCGTCGTGTCGCCGCGGCATGTGACAGGCGGCAGCTGCCAAGGGGCATGGGCAGCATGGCAGCGCCCCTCCTCGACCCGCGTCCGCTTCGACTGCCGTTTCTTGAGGCTGACGTGAGTAGGACTTTGGGGCGGGTGGCGGTGTGCTGTCGGGACGGGCTCTCAGCCTGCCCCGAGCAGGAAGCGTGGCAGTGAGCGCAGCGGGGAGGCGGGCAGCACGGAGCAGCAGCGCTGCCAACCAGCTCCACAGCCCGTTACTCGCCCCCGGTGCCCGCACACCCGCTGAAGCACCACCTCGACGCTTCCCGGGGCCGGGGCACAAAAGAATCCCGGCTGCCAGCCGCTTCCTATGACCCCCAGGGCGGGCCGGGGGCTGCACGGGCCCTATGGGGAAGGGTTGGGGATGGAGGAAGGGGGTGGGGGTGGGGGGGTGCTAGGGGTCCCCCCGGAGCTCCGCTCCCAGCCCCTCCCCGCCGCTCGGGGGCTCCCTGCGGGCGTCACGCGTCACGTGACCGGGGGGGGGGGGGGCGCGCCGTGACGCCGCCGCGCTTGTCTCGCCGCAGAGCCGCCTCCCATCGATGTGCGGGCGCTCGATGCAGCAGCCCTCGCGCCGCAGCGTCCTGCGGGCCCGGCCGCCGCCGCCGCCTCCTCCCCTACCGCCGCCGCCCATCGATGCGCTCCGCGCTCCGGTCGCCATCTTAGGGGCAGAGCGAGGGAGGCAGAAGGAAGGGTCGGTAGGTACCGGGCCGCTCCCTGCACACACACACACGCACACACCGGGTCGTGTTGCCCCCCACCCACCCTAGAAGCCGCCCGGCCCTTGCAGCCCCGCCGGGGCTCAGCGCCCTCCCCGCCCTCATTCAGAGCCGCTGCCCCACGCCCCCTCCAGGGCCGGGTATCGCCCCCCCCAGGCCGGGGCTCGGGGCTGGCCGGGCGGGCAGCGGCTGCGGGCCGGGAACCTCCAGGGGGTGCCGGGCTCGGCGCTGTGACTGCCCTGCATGGCCCTCCGTGATCGCCTCCCGAGCTCCGCCCGCCCGGCTCCACCTGCCCGCCCGTGCCAGCACGAGGGATACCCGCAGAATGAATTCGAACTAGTAGCCTATCTTTTCCCTCCACAACGTTATTTTTGTTGTTGCTCCTTAGTGCAGCTCGCATTCCGTGTATTGGCCAGATTTTCATTTCTGCAGTAAATGAGCTCACCAGTTTTCTCCCATTTTCTTTCATTTCTCAGTCTCTGAATCTAACCTGAACTAAGCAAATACTAAATATCTCTGCACCACAATTCATCAGATGCGTTTTACTTAAAGCTTTTAATTGTGTCATGCGTCTCTATCATAAATAATTTTTCTTGTTCTTTTATATTTCAGGCCCCTCCGAGGCACTCCTTGCTCACAATGTATAGAACAAAAGTCAGCTTGAAAGACCGTCAGCAACTTTATAAATTGATAATTAGTCAGCTACTATATGATGGATACATAAATATTGCCAATGGCTTAATAAATGAGATAAAACCACAATCAGTCTGTGCACCATCTGAACAACTGCTGCACCTGATTAAATTAGGTAAGGTGGGGGAAAAAATGAGCATAAAAGTCCAGTATCTAAATCCTTAGATTAAATCCATGTGAATTAAGGTTTTAGTGTTACTGACAATACATCTTTTATACTAAGCTTATTTCTAGTAATACCACAAAGTTTTTGTATATTTAGATGCAGCCTTTGTCTACGTGTTTTACTTTTTTTATGGTGCATTCCAGTTCTATGTTTCATTCTTGAGTGTGCATTGAAAGCAAAACAGGTCACTGAACGTTGTCAGAATGTTTGAACTTCTTTTAACGTGTTAGAATACCTGCCAAGGGTCCTCTGGGTGACTGACAACCTTCTAAAAATATGCTCGAGTAAACAAGATCACCAAGTCCACAGATCTAATAGGAAGTTAGATCTATTACTAAATTACAGCTCTCTGTGATTGTTCCTGAAAGTGTTGGAGAGGGACCAAGTCTTTCAACTGGCCATCTTCATTAGCTTCTATATACCACTCTCAAGAAAATAAGCTTCACGGTCTGGGGTCTCAGCAAAGGTATTGCCTGTTCTCTCCCTATACCTTTCTCTCTGAAAGTACATCTGTGCAGCACGCAGAAGTCAGAATTCCTGAGCTGCTGTAGAAACAAGCTGTCTAGGTTATTGGAAGAGGCTTAGCCATGACAGCATGTCTTCTCTGTATTGTAACTGAACTGGTTCTGCTGCTTCAACTAGTTGATTTACATGAGTATAAATAGGTGAAGTGTTGTGTCTGTCTGAAATGATCATGCTAGACTCGCAGATTGTAGATGAAAGCAGCAAAAACTTTTCTGTTGAAGTTGGTAACAGCAGTTAGGCACATAGCTGAAAAATTGCATGTCCTGTGTTGGTACGACTTCCAATGCTGAACTGTCTTTGTCCTGTAGACAGAATCTATCCTGCAAAACAAAAAAATTCTGTGGAGTGGGTGTGAAGTAATAATTTCCATTAGCAATGCTAGGATAGTAGTTTGTGGGGTGGAGTTTTCTCCTTTGATGCAGTAAAATGGAAAGAAGAGTAATTGGTAAATGCTTCTATTTTTTATTTTAAATGTCATGTAATAGCATTGGGGCTTGCTTCTCGCTTCTATAAGTTGACTATAGTCCAGTCTATGACTTCTGTAAGTGACTGATATTAAGTACTGTTAGGTACGCATATGATGTTCATGGTTGTATTTTCACAGTTAAGTTTAACAGAGCTGTGCTCAGCTTTGATATAGCCAAACTACCTTGCTTTCATCATGAATATTGCTGTACAACTAAACCTGTTCCACTAGCTTAGCCTTGTTCAGCATGGGCTGTCTCTTAAAGCCTGACTGCTGTAGCTGTTAAAGTCTATAGCATAGATCTGGACGTAGCATGTCTGTCTAAAGAGGAGGTGAACCTGGTTTACGAGTGTCAAATTCTCTTTTCAGGAATGGAAAATGATGACAGTGCTGTTCAGTACGCAATTGGACGGTCGGACACAGTAGCTCCAGGCACAGGAATTGACTTAGAATTTGATGCAGATGTACAGACCATGTCTCCTGAGGCTTCTGAATATGAGACTTGTTACGTCACATCTCATAAGGGACCATGTCGTGTGGCTACGTATAGCAGAGATGGGCAGTTAATAGCTACAGGATCTGCCGATGCCTCAATAAAAATTCTTGATACAGAGAGAATGCTGGCTAAAAGTGCTATGCCTATTGAGGTAAAATGTGACTTGAATCGTAGCCACTTCGTGAATTCTTGAGCTTCTGTCTGGGTTTCATGCAACGTCTGTGCCTTGTGGCTGGCTCAGTGAGTTGGACTTAATGTCTGTCTCACCCTATTTCCTTTCCAGCAGTGGTTTATAAAGTACCCTTGAAGAAAAGAAAGAAGACATAGAGAAAATATACTTGTGTGACTTCTTGCAGCAGCCTGGAGATCTGAGCCAGAAATAGCTTCTCATAGTTGTTGATAATTGCTGTGCTGTGTAAACACAGCTTGTCTTTGAACCCTCTTCTGGCCTCTGCAGCATCCAGTGGCTGTTTCAGTACTGGTTCCCAGAACGCATATTTATTTGCTTTATTTTTTCTCCCGATAACACTTACCAGGCAACAATTCAAAAGTGTAGTTTTTCAGAATATACACAACATTCTCAGTAGTATTCTGTATGAGTGAAAGTTGCTGTTTTCCCTGTTAGTACACCTTCCCTTAATTCTTTTGGCAATATAATATTTTGATTTGGACCCTTCATGAAGAAGGTGATACATTTTCTTGCATCAGTTTACTGCTGCTGATACTAGTTCATTCTTGAGCGAGTCCATTGACCTTAATGATTGGGGATATAAAGATACGGGGATGTTATCTGATAATTAATCAAGTATAAAATCTGCATTACCTGTCAAAAGCATGTCCCTTCTAATGCTAACTTGTTCCATGTTGCAGGTCATGATGAATGAGACAGCACAGCAAAACATGGAAAATCATCCTGTTATTCGGACTCTGTATGATCACGTGGATGAAGTTACATGTTTAGCTTTTCACCCAACAGAACAGATCCTTGCATCTGGTTCAAGGGACTACACACTTAAGTTGTTTGACTATTCAAAGCCTTCTGCCAAAAGAGCCTTCAAATATATACAGGTTAGATACTGTCATCCAGTTCAGAACAACCAAAGCTTGTGTGTAATTACTGAGCTATCAGTGAGCTGAATTGCATCCGAGTATGTAGGTGGTTAGGTGTGTAGGAGTATGTAGCTAACAAAATTTGCAGACGTGCCATTTTCTGTGTTAAGAGTCTGCATAACGGATACGTATACTTACAGTCTTTGACTGTCGTGTCTGCTTTTTGTTAATCTAGACCTAATCTAATATGGGTGACTTTGAAGTCAGTTACGTTATCGTGGTTCTAGAGACGAGTTTGGGATTATGTGGTGGTTTGACGGGCTGACAAAACCTTCTGCTACTGTTGTGCAATATCCCAAAAATAAATGGGCACAGCAAGCTGTTCTAGGAAAAAAACTGTGGTATATTTAAGTGTAGGCTGTCACAAGCTTTTTAATGCTATATAGAGCATTTTCCATTTTGCTGAAATACATCATGTCATGCTAATTGATAGTGTAACTAATTTTTAGCACTTTAATGCCACCAAAACTGACACATTTTAGCTTTTTATTTTTTATTTTTTTTAATAAACTTACACCAATTATGTATTTTTGATCAAACAGGAAGCAGAGATGTTACGCTCAATCTCTTTTCACCCTTCGGGAGATTTCATTCTTGTTGGTACCCAGCACCCAACTTTACGACTTTATGATATCAATACTTTCCAGTGTTTTGTGTCTTGCAATCCTCAAGATCAGCACACAGATGCCATTTGTTCAGTAAATTACAATGCAAGTGCAAACATGTATGTGACAGGAAGTAAGGATGGATGCATCAAACTGTGGGACGGTGTTTCAAATCGCTGTATCACTACTTTTGAGAAGGCGCATGATGGAGCTGAAGTCTGTTCAGCTATTTTTTCCAAAAATTCAAAGTATATCTTGTCAAGTGGAAAAGACTCTGTAGCTAAACTATGGGAGATATCCACTGGTCGAACACTGGTCAAATACACAGGTATGTATATGGCAGGTGACCTTCCAAGTACCTTCTTTTTCAGCTACTGACCAAGGGGCAGTGGTGGTGTTGTCTGAAAGATTAAGTCTGTTATATAGCTATAATCCTTAAAGGTAAGGGGAGACAGCTTCTTTGAAGATAAATTGCCCCATATTTTTTAAAACGTTTCATGTAAACTACATCAAGAAGAAAAGCTGTGTCACTTTCAACCTGCTGAGTCTTAAGTAGAATTTTGGAGGCTTCTCTACCAGCATTATGCCATTGCTTTTGGAGGGGAACGATTGCTAAGCTAGGGAAAAAGAAATTGGAATGTGAATCCCCTAAAGTTTAGAACACTTGTGCAGAAGGTTTTGTTCCTTAGTTTTTCTTTAATGTGTTTTAGAAATGATGAGTATTTGGAGGGAAGGTGGAAGACCTCATTGCTTTTCTTGCTGATGATCATCTTTATTCTTGGGCTTGTCAGTTTATACTGCACCCTTGGTCTAGCAAAAAAAAATACATATATAAAAAAAAAAGTAAGGATCAAAAGTAATGCATAATCCTTTTTGGGATAGAGTAGGCCTCTTGCCTGAGGAGTACCATGGACTGCAGGGGAATAAAATCCACATTGGGGCAGTTAAGAATTAGACTCTTGGGTAAATAAATGGTTCAAGTAAACCATGGCAATATTCTGAAAAATGTTTGCAGCCGTACTTTTTTGAAGGATGAAATTATGCACAAGGTAGCCACACTTCCAGCATGCTGACAATACCACACTTTGATCTCAGCAGGACTTGGGAAATTATGAAAGATGGAAACTGCATGCAATAGCAGTTACGTGACTGGGGAAGCTTTACGGTGAAGCAGCTGTGTGCTTAAGTACTGGGTGTTGTACCATGACAGAGGAGTGGATGCTGAAAATTTTTTGTTTCAGCTTTTGGGATCTGTGCAGTCCTTGTACACTAGCAGTATTTTTGCTCTCAACCAGCAGGGTGCAGCACCTCCTTAATAAACCCTTGCAAAATACAAGGTAGAAAGTAGGTCTATTCCTTGGAAAATAAATGCCTGCATCTGAAACACGTTTTATTTGAAGGGGGGGCAAAGGTATGGCCAAGGTAGGTCACACAATATGCCTATATGATATTCAAAAGGAAAATTATTGATAACGAGGATCTCTGTCTCCTGCTACCTGTGATCTTTCTGGCTAGTTATAATTGTAAGCCTCATACAAAAGATGTAAGGTAAAACTGTTTGTTAAAGCTTACTGTTTGAACTCATACTGAGTGGTTGGACTTGATTGCCACAACTGGAGTGCTTAATCCTTCCGTCCTCTAAATTCTAGGATACACACTATATAGCTACAAAAGAATATCTGTAATTGATTCAGTTGTTCTACATGGAAGTTGTATAATAACAGAGAAGATAAGGCTTCTTTTAATAGTCTGCAGCAATTAGTAGATACAGGAGGTTTGCAAATTTCCTAGAAGAGATCCTATTTGAGTTAATATTTTCCTGCATATATTTAGGAGCTGGTTTGAGTGGACGGCAAGTACACAGAACACAAGCTGTCTTCAACCACACAGAAGACTACGTGCTGCTTCCAGATGAAAGGACCATAAGTCTCTGCTGCTGGGATTCAAGAACTGCTGAACGGAGAAATCTTCTTTCTCTTGGGCATAACAGCATTGTTCGCTGTATTGTCCATTCTCCTACCAATCCTGGCTTCATGACCTGCAGCGATGACTACAGGGCTAGATTTTGGTACAGAAGGTCAACAACAGACTAAGGACACTTTTATAAAACAGTGATTATCCAGATTCATTATATCATCTTGTATTGATTGTACTGCCAACAGATGCCTAGATGAGAGCCACGCTGTGTCTGTTTTCTTGTCGTTTTTTTAATTCTGTCAAACGTGGCAGAAAAATCGTGGAACACCAGGATGAAGTTTTGCCCCACGCTAATTTTTTATTAGTGTGTGGGACATTAATTTTTGTAAGTCATCTCTAATTTTACTCAAGGAGTTGGGGTGCGGAATAAAATGATCCTTGCAGGAAGGATTGTATTCTCCCATCTCTCTGAATCCTGCAAAAGATAATGTGACTAGATCTTGCTCAAACTGGGCAGTAAGAGCCAGTTTTGCTCTGCATTGTATCTGTGCAATCCCACTGAAGTCTGTTTAAAGAATGGATTACACAAGTAACAGCAGAACTTGGCAAATATTTTAATGAAGCCTTAAGCCGTCTTCAGTAAAGCTCTGTTTTGTATCTTTTAGTCTTCTTTTTTCCTCCAGTTCGCCAAGTGGACCTTTGATTCTGAGCCAGTCTTGTGCTATAAGAATTCAAAACACAATTTTAAACTGTTTAGATGAATTCAAGCAATAGTGTTCTAGTTCTGATATTAAAACTCAGAATTGAAATCTTGTCTTCTTTGGAATTTATCTTAACAAGTGTAATCTCAAATTCAAGGAATATCTACATTGCAACTATAAAATGGGGCAGTGCTGCAGCACATGAAAATGAGAATAATTTGATATAGACACCTTCAGTAACCCCTCAAAAAAAGAAACTTGTGCATATTAATTTTCATATATGTACCTCAGAAATGTCACTTTGCTTCATTTTACTTAGAAATTTTGTTATATAGCACTTGAATGATTTTTTTTCAGTTCAAAAACCCAGACTCACTATTTCTTATCTCTAACAATGCAAGTTTCCCAGACCCATACTCAATACAGATCCTTAAAAAAATCTGAGCTTAAACCTTATGTAAGTTTGAAAATTCACTACATATTCTTACAGATATGTTATTATCTGGCCTGTGCAGTTTTAAGTGTGTTCATTCAAGTATTCTGCCTGCAGCTTAGTGAAACAGTACTTCTGAGCTTCGTGTGTGGGAACCTTCCTTTGGCCATAAGCTCAGCACTTGCTTTCATTAGGATCTTTAAATGTAAGGTTATTTTGTTACTGCTGGATTGAGCATTGCCACTGATTAAGTGTCTTGTTTAAGGGTTGATGAGGGTTACAGGTTTTGTCTGTATTTAAATAAAGATTACCTTTTTTAAAAGTTGTTTAATATATAAAGAAGGAAATGTAGTTTTATTTTCTGTGTAACAAAGGACAAATCAAATGCCGGAAGGATATGATCTGGGGTCGTGTTACAGCTTGATGAATTAATCTGTTGTACTACATTTGGATCAGGCATAATCATAATGTTCAGTACAGAATACGGGGTGTTTCATTTTCAAAAAGTAGAGAATGAAATTTAATGTTCTTGAATGCTTCAGCTCCACAAAACAAATTTTCTTAGGCTGAGCAATCCTCTTCCTTCCTCTGCCTCCCTTCAAGTTTCTAAAACTTTAGAAACATGGGAGGCATAAGATGGTGGTTCTGGTGGCTTTTTGTTGGAGGAACAAGGAGGACTGGAGCTTGGTGGGCAGGAAAAGGGAAGTCTTGACGCAGTTGCAAGCGCGTGCTATACTATCTCAGCAGCAACAGCCCTCCAACATTAAAACCAGTCAGCTAAATTGTTAGTGATAATTCTTTATTGGAGTGCAGCATTTGTTCCTATTCTGTTAAAGAAGCTGTCTGTAAGCAACTCGTTTGTTACTGGTCTTCAGACTCTCTTATTTTTAAAACGATATTTTGGTGTTTTAGATACTAAACCACTTCTGAAGTTGATAAGTTAGCATGCTAGCTTTCACTTTGAGCTTCCTTAATTCCATTTAGAGATTTAATCTGTTAAAAACATCCTGAAATAAGCCCCTTTGATTTTTGTCTTTCAGCACTACTTTTTAATAAGAATTTTGATGGTTGTTGGAGAGAGAAAATTGAGGCTGCAAGATGTTGATATTGATTTACTTTAAATAGCTTGATTTCTGTAGGTAATTAGAGTAAGAGGTCGTGTTTTTCACAGTAAGAATAGTAAATTATTTGCTAAATTAGTTACCTTGTTCCATTACTTACGTAGATGGTTTGAAAAATACAAGAGGTTTTGAAGGGATTCAGAGAGCAATGTGGATCTAGGATGACAAAATACAAAGAAAAAAAAATGTTCTGGCTTTAGAGGAAATAGGATGTCCTCTACCTGAATAAAAATAAGTTTTTTGTTTTGTTTTCAGATAATTGGAGTCATGAATGCACAGTATAACTATATGAAAAGGCAGGTGACCTGAACCTAATTAGAGTTTGGGGAGCCTGTGAGCAGCTGAACCAATAGCAAGGAAGTAAGGTTAAGCATGTTTAGCCTGAGGAACCACTATCAAAAGTTCAAGGGTAGTGAGGGTACAGAGAATGTAGGCTAGGGAGGATAACAGATCTACTTTCTCTTGCCTACTGGAATATCTTCTCTAATACAAGGAGAGGATTGTTTTTAGTGTACTGAAATTTGAGTAAAATTGACGAGGCAAATTAAGCTTGCCTACAAGCAGACTTGTTCAGAGCTGTATCCAGAGAAATTACCTTCTCAAAGATGCCGTTTGTTGTTATCCTTGTGTTCTATGCTTCTGTTAATGCAGCTGGGAGGAAAAAAAAAAATTACATGTTCCAATATTTGGGTTGTTTTCAGGATGAGCTTTAGGAAGACAAAGACTGTTTCTAAAGCTCTGCCTACTCTTAAGTGATATAATCATACAAGTGTTTTTTGCTGAACTCATCACTGCTCTCAAGAGTAGACAGATGTGAAGGTGTCGATCATGCATATTACTAACAGCTTCAGAACAGCTGTTTATCTTAACGAAGGTTACAAACCAGCCTTGTAACTATGTTTGATTTCTTGGGGGCCTGTTTTGGAATTGTTTTTCCTTGATATAGTCAAACTAGTGTTAAGCGAGTCTCATGCTTTTGGACTAACGCAGCTGGTGAAGGGAGCATCCTTGCCACTGTTTTGTCCATGGTAATAGATAGCAAGCTTGGTACACCTCTTGTATGGAAGAAAACATCTATTTCTGGCTGTTTTACCAAAACATCTCTTCTACTATCTGCATTTCTTTCTTAAGCAGCTCAGTGGGATTCCATAGGGGGATACCATGAGATATGGTGGGAAAGGACTTGGGGATTGTAGGAAGCTTTCTCCTGGTACAGCTAAGTGCTCCTTAGTATTCTGTAGAAAGTGAAGAGGTAGCTGCCTGTGCAAGTACTGTAATGAGCTAACCCTGTACCTTTGTTTTTCAGAAGCTCTTGTTTTTAGGACCTTCCAGAGTCTATCTGCGGCTAACAAACTCTGTAATTATCCCAGATTAAGCTCTTTGCTCCTTAAAGCTTAAAGGCAGCTTTGCTTCCAGGAAAAAAAGAGGAAGCAAATGTATAAACAAGCTTTTGCAAAACCAGATGCTTGCCCAAGATTATGAGTTGCCATGGGTTCAAGCACATGCCAAAGAGGCAGCAGTGACCTCATGTCCTTCCAAGAAAAAGGGATCTTCCATTGGAAGACAACTTAGACTCCACTGGTGAGACTCTCGTTGACCAGCAAACACCAGTTTCCTCTCTCATTCTCACAGTTCAGGCAATCCTCCTTTGGCAAAGGAATGCCTTACCATGCATTCAGGGTTTGATCTCTTTAATCCTTGCATAACAGGAGGTAATCTCTAATCATAATTGTAGCAGCCCAGCTGAGGCAGGAGGCAGTGCTGCTAGCTGATGACAGTCTGTTTTGCTTGGGAAGCCCTTGGAAAGGGGGAGCTTCAAACCGCCTGTGACTTCGTTGGAGCACTGGCTTGAAAGTAGGCAGGGAAATACAACCAGAATTCACCTACTCTTCACACAGGAGTGGCTTGAAATGAATATCAGTTCCTCTATTAATCAACAAATTCCAGAGAAGCTGCTTGCCCTCCCCCAGTTTCGCGGTCTGTACTCCCAGTAGCTACATCCCACGGTGTTCCTCCGCTCACAGAAGCACGGTCATGCTCGGGATTTGTTTTCTCAAGGAAGTCTCCGTCACCTGCCTGAAAGTCAGTTGGATGCATCTGGTGTGTAAGTGGCTCAGAAGAATTCATCGTGAAAACGTGGTGAGGTAATGCCGCAGCTAATGCGTTAGGCCAGCGAGCCGTGCCTAGCCAGAAGCCAAGCAGCTCTGGAGACAGATCTTAATCATGGGTTTGTAGCTTGGCCTCTCAGCACTCCCTGGCACCCTGACTTGGCAGTCAGTAACTGGCCCAGGGATCCAGGGAAGCTCGTTCCTAAAGGGGCACTGCTGGAATTTGGCTCGCTTGCTACCCATTGAGACAGATTTCAAACTTTCTGCTTAAGAGGGCAGAGCGGTCTCGGAGAAATATCCCTCATTTCCTGGACACAGAGGCTGCTGTGAGAGGCTGAATCCCAGGAGAAAAATGACAAAATGTAATTAAGAATTAGTTGAGAAAATTGCAGCTTGGGATAGGAAGTTGTCCGTGTGGCTGGAACAGGCCCTTCAAATGCAGCAGCAAAACTGCTCTGCTCGCTGACCAGGGCATCGGGACAAGCTGAAGCCTGTGCATTTGCTTTCTGTGTATGTTTAAGCCTTAGTGCAGCTAGGAGAAGGCTTCCACATATAATTCACCCCCTAGTATGTATGGGAATATATCCGATTTTCACAAGCTCCTTCATATATATCAAAAATGGTGCCTTAGATGACAAGACAGCTTCGGAAAGCATGTAAAATACAGGCTTAGAAATCCTGGATTGATATGACTGTGGCAGTCTTATTTCCATCCAGCACTGTGCAGCCTCTTGTGGTACGTAGTACTCTTGTATTCATTGCATTTCTAAAAGAGGAAATACAGGAACATGTAGCAAAAAAGAAGGGTGAGACTTCTGACTGTGGTTAATTGCGACAAGTTGGTGACAGAGAGATCAAGGAAAATTCCACTTGCAGACAGACTTGTCTCTCAGTTCTGAGCGCTAATAGGGTTTTTCTGCTTTGTTTTCTTCTTTTCAATCTTATCTGCTGTGGCAAAAACTGTCTTTGACAAGAATCTTTTGCACACATTCCTAAGTGCTTTTAAGGGTAGAGCTGTCAGATGTCTTTTCTTGAGATGTAGTTCCTGGCACACAGTGACTGTGCAAAGCTTGAGGGCTCTTCTCCCTGCGGTAATTATCTGTATTGCTCCAAGTGACACTGCTGGTGAATGACAACTATGGATAAAAACATCAGCAGCAACAGAACTGCAAAGGTATGTCTGTTTTGTTTTGGTTTTGGTTGTTGTTGTTTTTGGTTTTGATTTGAGTAAAGCACATAATTAAAATATATATGTTCTAGAGTATGGTTTGACATTTGAATTCAACATTATGCTAGGTGATGTTGGACGTGTTTGGTATTCTCATCCTGAGGGACGAGGGAGGGTTCTTAGGATGTTAACGTACCTAATGCCTCTGTGCTTTTTGTTGTGACAAAACCATTAACTGGAAGAATTGTCTTCTTGAGGAGCACTCCACATAAAGCAGGATT